GCACTTGAAACTGCTTATATGCATCAGATCGAATTTCCCCGATTTTCTTAAACCCGTTTTTTCCTACTTCCTATAGTTGCGAGCCAATATATATTTTGACAAGTTCATGTTGTACACATTTATTTTAACTATATTTATTTATTTTAGTCAGTACCAGATATCAGGTATACCTACGTCGTCTCATTTATAGTTACGTCTTGGACCTTGAAAGTTCATCATAAAGCTATATAATATACCGGTAGTGTCATGTCTGTACGTTACATGGGTTGGCCCGACTTATAAGTTAAACATTATAACATATTATTGTGAAGTGTAAAGGTAAGTATGGTGGGTTACAGTGAAAAACGTCATAACCCCCCTCTCCGGCCACTGCAGTCTTGGACGAGTGCCATATCTACCATGTGATCCTCTGACCTCTATATATACTATGTACTTACCATCTATGGTAACACAAGTTATGTAATATTATTATCCCATGCAGATTTATAATAATTAGAATATTGCAGTAATGTAGGTAGTACACGAAGCAGTGAAATATCATTGGAGATTTCATAATATTGGGTGTCTCTATTCAATATGGCATAATGGATAAGACTATAAGAAATACGATTTTACATAGGTACCTACAACAGGCTGTACCTCCACCCAAACCACTCTCTATATGATATCATAAATAACTAATTTATAATGGTTAATGGCTAATACGAACCCCCTACATCATTATTCATTTCATAATTGAATACTATTAATAAATAATTAATATTATTAAAAATTAATCAAATAAAAAAAAATATTAAAATAATTTATAATTTTTTTAATCACCTTCATTTTTCGAATACGTATATCTAATAATATTTCGAAATAAAAACGCAACTATTACGAATGAAAATTCATAAAAAATATTAGTGGAATAATTATTATTATGGCATGTAAAAAATTAACTAAAAATAATGTATGTTTATAATTTATAGGGACTAGACATGTATAAATTTGCCAATTAAATATGATACCAACCGTAAAAACTACATGTCTACATCGTATACCATTAAGGAAAAGTTAGCTACACAGAAAATAACCACTGACAATGAGACAGTTGCATGGGACATCGGACATGACATTATATTGTGGAGCTTTAAAGTTTATTAATGTTAAAATGTTTGGAATAGCAATTTTACCACATATAACAATCCTATTAGGAATTTAAGTTATAAAGTTTCTTTGCGATAAACTAGTGAGTCTAATTCAAGCAGATCAATAATTGTGTCCATAATCGTGATACTTGACTCATGACCATAGGCTTGTGCACAGGGGGTGGCGTGTGGGCACGGGCGAATGTAAGTTCCCACACGAGATATAGCAGGTAAAAATTACAACCGGGTATGCTTACGTAAGTTTCCACACGAAAAAAAATTACACCGAATACAAACTTCCTTCCCACTTTATTCAGACTTAGGACTGGCAACTTAAATGCAGTTGGTTTGGTTAAAATTTGTTTGTTTTTGTGTTGCATAAAAAAAGTAGGTTCAATACATTTTTTAATTGAATCTAGTCCAAATATATAATAAAAATTAATAATATAATGTGTAGGTATGGTACACATATTATTCGTGTAAGTAGGTACAAAATAATAATAGTTATAATAATTATAATAATAGTAGGTAATAGAAAAAATTAAATTTTATTTGGCTTACTGCGAAAGCTCAAACCCTTCACATAGTCATACTGTGTAATTATTTTTAAATTGTAATCTGATATTTTGTTATTGATATAGTTTCCCCCCTAGTATTTGGGCTAGTGCTAGTTCTGATACAAGTCTTACTTCAAACGCTCACGAAAGTACAAATAATATGCTGACCATACATTATATTATTAATTTGTATTATATATTTGGACCAAGTACTAACTATAACAAACTAAGTCTGAATAAATTTTCGTGTGGGAACTTACGTACGGGTGTATTTTTTTCCGTGAGGGAACTTACATAATATGTACCTGCTTACCTGCTATGTTTCGTGTGGGAACTTATGCTTAACCCCGAGCCATTTTGTGATTGGGTCCCAGTGCAAAGGGCCCCTTATTTCAATTGATGTTAGATACTAGAATTAAATGTATTTTTTTCCAAAATACCCATGCTATAAAAAATAAATAATAAAACGTACAATATTTTAAATTTGAGTGGAATAACTATTCATTATGATTATAACAGATAAGTGTTTTTGACTACAAAATTACAATTAATAACAAATAAAGATTGCAATTATGTTAGAAATAGATATTGATCCAAGGAAATATATAACTATGGTAGTTAGTAGTTGGTACTAGTAATTATATAGGTACCACTGACCAATATGTACATGTCTATATGTCTTGTTAAGAGAGGGCCCAATAATATTGTAGGCACCCCCGAAATTCAGGTCTAAGCACGTCTATGGTCATGACTCGTGATGTGTACGGGGAACAACTAATAAAAAACTAGGGAAACGAAGAAACCTAGATTGGACTTTGGACTCATTGTATTAAGCAAACGTCGTAAGCCATATTATGCGATCTCCAAATAATAATATTAAATAAAAATGAAATTAATGAAATATATTCTAGAATAGGTCGAACCAACGCTCAATAAAATGTTTTAGACTTTTAACAGCTTTTTAAAGTTTTTAATCAGAAGCTGCCCTGTTTACCAAATCTAGTACTTTAAAAATTATAATACCTACAATAATACAAATAAAGAAGAGGGAGAGTAGGTAACCGCTCTGCTAGTCTCATAGGCGCAAATAGCGTTTGAGATTTGGGGGGGGGCTGAAGCCCTAGGTACTGAATGAAGCATTTATACAAGTATTTAACACCTAAAAATTGTTTTTAGTACAACATAGGTATATCTTATACTGCTTACTTAATTACAATATTGACTGAAAATAAAACTTACTAAATATTTTTTTCAAATGTGCTATTAATTCATCTACTTATAATAGTTGTCAAAATTATATTTATAATTATACATTATACACCACATAACTTTTAGGAAAACAATAGGAATTATTAATACTGTATGTGTGGCTTTAGAGCAACAAGTAACAACAAACTAATATAATTATAGAACAAATTTTTATTTAAAAAAATGTGCCCAATACATTTTTAGAGCTGTATTCGTCGGTTGGATTTAGCAAATGTGTTTAATATTATTTCAGTATCTAATATAATATCTTTTTCGATATTCAATATTGCTAAATTAGTAAATCAGCCCTGAGTCATGTTAGCTCTGACATATGTGTTGATCCTTCTCATAGTTGAAAAGGACCTTTCACAAGTGGCCGAGCTCACTGGTAATGTTATTGCCACTTGCATAATTTTAAATAAATTAGGAAATACTTCTTCATTTAGATGTTTTTTGATATTTTCAAAATTGACTTCTTTCATCATGTTTTTCATTACATTAATTTCACATTTTAAGTTTGAAGAATTGATATCAAAAGTATCCTGTACGGCTGTACACAAATATACAAACAAAAACAAAGTAGTTTAAAAAAAAAACCATTTGTGTTAACAGTACGAGCGCGGGAAGTTAAACTTCTTTTGAATGGTACACGTGAGTGAGTGAAAAAGAAAGAAAAAAATATTA